CACTCTGCTAGAATGCGGTATAGTTTCACAGCGCACAGTACTCGAGGTGCCGGCGCCAGAGATTTTTGCTGAAGCTAATCTAGATCAATAATATGTTATATCATATGTTTGTTTACTACTATTTGTAACTATTAGTGTGTGAAAAAATCTGTTTCACTCCATCTTAATCGCCGTAGTAACTTTAAAAATCTACCATTTAATTTCCAGAAGGCCACGTGAAATACAATTATTGAATAGAACGAACTTATCAAGTGAAGTTCGATTTCAATCGTATGAACGCCATCTTCGAAGAGATCAGCCCCACCCTTAGTTACCCAGGAATCTTGTAAATATCCTTGAACCCTGAAGCTACGGCGATATTTGAAAATAAATGAACACTCGACGCGCGCCAAACGGTGAGGAATATAGAGTTGTTAGTTTTTTGCTTTAAAATGTGTGGCAGCATTAGCGCAGAGTGGGATACTACCATTTGATCTCTTCGAAGGCGACGCTCATACAATTGGAATCGAACTTCACTTGGTAAGTTCGTTGTATTCTAGGGTGCTCGTACTGAATGGCTGAACTCACAACGGAGAGCAAACGCATAGACATTTGTTCTGACAGCCAGACAGACCTCAGGGAGTTAGGCTCCCGAATAGTAACCTCGAAGTTGAGTTAGGAGTGCAACGAAGCCCTGAAGGCGCTGGCAGCCAAAAATAAAGTCTGACTTAGCTGGGTAACTGGCCATTCAGGGGTAATGTGATAGCAGACAGATTGGCTAATCTGGGGTCAAAAATGTTCCAGAGGGGCCTGAAGCAATTATAGGGTTGGCAAGAAGCCAAGTCAAGCGCACCATTATGGAGTGGGCCGAAAGAAAACACAAAGAATAGTGGAGTGCAGCTACAGGCTGCCGTGAAGCAAAGAGAATATTGAGCCCTCAGCCCATTAGTGACTAGCTGTGGCTGTGTTCAAAACCAGGGGAGGAAATATACCAGACTCCTAACCCACATCATAATAGGCCACTTCAGGTACCATGGTCACAAGATTGGTCTCTTATGGGATAGTATATGCAGGTGGTGTGAGGTGACCCAGGAAACATCCCTCCTGAGCTCACAGCGTACGATGGACGCTCAAAGAGACGGAAATAGTTCGGGGACGCATTTCCGAGTCTAATGGACATTAGAGTCACCACCCCAATAAAAATATTTTATAAGCTTAGGCAAGATTTTAAAAAGATCTTGATAAAATTGTAAGACATCTGGTAGCAAGTTCTTGTATAAGATCTTGATAAAATAGTAAAACTTCATCACAATCATGAAATTCAAATTATATAAGAACTTGTTATTTCAAGTCTAGTAATGAAATCAAAAACTCTTCTAAGAATTTGCTACCTGAAGTCTTTCAGTTTTATCAAGATCTTATATGAGAACTTGCTACCAAATGTCTTCAAATGTTATCAAGATCTTTTTAAAATCTTGCCTAAGAACTTATAAAATATTTTCATTGGGGCAAGACCAGCCGCTTAATCGGCTTCTGGAAAGAAGTCGTTCGGGCAAACCAGTGTCAAACTATGGGCTGGCACAATGGACCCTGAGTCTACGTGTCGGAGGGACCGTAGCCCCTCCTGCATGTATTTATTATTATTATAATTATTATAATTTTTCTACTGATGAACATCTATAATAAACCAGTAAAACAGGTTCAAATTGAACGCGGCGATGACTTTCTTCAGAAAGTTGAACTTGTTGTGGGAGATCCTGGGTGAATCAGAGTGGACTACTCGGGTCGTCATTGTCAACAAAAAATCACGATTATCTGAAGAAAGTCATCGCCGAGTCCTGATCCTAAACTAGTGCACATCCAAAGTGAGAGCGAAAGCAAGATTTTCAACGAATAATTATATAGTTTAGCTACTTTTTATTTTATATTAATATAAATGTAGTTAGATAAAAGCACTTGAAAAAATTTGATACACTCATTTAATTAATATAACTTTTTTGTTAAGCCTTCTATATCCAATGAAGGGCTCAAGTGGTACAGCGCTGGACTTTTAAGCGACTGATCACCGGTTCAATCCCAGGTCTTGGGAAACTTTTTCACTTCTCTAAAGTTTAAAAATAAATATTCTCTTAATTATTACGTAAATAATTTCGAAAATAACTGAAAATTCCTAATTTTTAAAAAAATAATATTTTTCTGTGTAAAAAAGTACAGGTAAGAACTTACGTAAGTTCTTACGTAAGAAAATTGACTGATAATCAAACGTAAGAATTTACATAAAAAATTTATACGTAAGAACTTACATAAGTTATTACCTACCGTCTTAAGCAAGTTCCCACGTAAGATCTTACCTAACCTTTTTACTGGGGTATCATTTTCATCGAAACATTGTTTAGACTATCAAAATAAATTATTGAAAATAAGGCAATATAATGAATGTCTTTATTTGATTCAATCGACGAAAGTCTGTTACGAATTTTCAAAAAGGCACTTTTACACCATAACATTATTCGAGAAGGTTAAGAAAGGCTTGTGAAAAATTTTAAATCGATTAGTATAATTCGACTTTCGTCGATTGAATAAAATAAAGACATTCATTATATTGCCTTATTTTAAATAATTTATTTTGATCGTCTAAACAATGTTAATAATTTTTATGAATACACAATTAGTTTTTCAGCATTTTCAAGGATACTGTAGAAAATTTTCAAAAGGACCGGACAATTTGTTTGGAAGGAACGGCAAATCAAAATAGAATGTTAAGTGATGTGCACGATTTTGTCCGTGGAGTAGCTGCTAGTCCTCGGTTGTCGGTAGCCACTGCTCAAAACTTCCCTCAATGTAGCGTGCGCGCAAACACAACGTGTACACACGAGTCTTGTCGTTGGATTCCGACCTGCTCAAATGTAGAGCTGCTGCTGTCCTTTTAAGAGTAGTAGCTAATCTTTACATTTACTAAGGACCGTCTTGCGTTAAGATTCACGTGTACACTGTTTTTTAACGATTGCAACATAACTTTTTCGATGGCACTTGGATAATTGCTCAAGGGGTAAAGAGCTGTGGACAATTGTAAATGAATGATCTCCGGTTCAAGCTCAGGTCTCGGGGAACTTTTTCACTTCTCTAAAGTTTACAATTCAATATATTTTAAATTATTAAGTACATAAATTCGAAAATTATTAACAATTTTTAATTTTTTATAAAAATAAAAAAATAATAACCTGAAGATTTGGCATGATATTTCACCTTACTATTCACCTGACTTTTCACCTAAAATTTTCCAATAATGCAATAATGCAAAAAATTTGAAAATCTGGACAACGCTAATTACGTAAGAGCTTGAACGATCGATAATCGTTGGTAAATAAGTTCCTCTAAGAACTTTTATAAGAGCTTATTGTCAAATATTTTCATTGGGGCAAGCTCACTCAGGGAAAGAAAAAAAACATGCATGATAGTGCGTACAGTCTCGCGACGAATACGCATACACAGCACAACACATGTATTTCATGTATTATCGATACGCAAAAGCAAGAGAGAGAGAGATATCTCAACGCAGTCAATTCCGTGAGCTAAGCCGACTGCTGTTGCTTATGTTGTTACGTTGCCTCGTGCGTATGCGTAAACACAGTCATACGCGCGTGCGAGAGTTTGAGTTTGAGTTTGAAGTTTAAATTTATTTGGACCGCGGGGTAGTACCCCATGAGGCCCAGGTAGAGGATAGAATACATATATCAATGTTTTAAAAATATTTACAATTAAAAATACAGTAGTGAGCAGAGTGTAGTATGATAGCAGTTACATAAGTTGTGAATGTACTAAATACGACAGCAAGTAACAGTGAATAACAGTGATTGCACGATGGTCGTACAAAGCACTCTCTCTCTATGGCCAAAGAACTAGCTCGTTCACTAGTGGAGGTGGAATCGGGGCAATGTTCTCGAAGTGGCAGCGAGTTATCCAGTCCGCCTTGTCGAGACAATACAAGTGGTTGTAGAGAAGCGCCCGATAATCAATCGATGTGTTGGTGAGGTTGATACGAAATGGGAGTGAATTGATAATTCGTGAGGCTGTGATGAAAAATGAGTTATGAAGCGATGATGTGCGAGGGGTCTTGTAAGATAGTAGCGGTGCCTGCCGACGCGATGAATGGCGAACCTGACGATCGGAGGAGAGCTTGAAGAGATTGCGAAGTGGGCTAGGTTCACCGCTCCGCAGTATGTTGAGTGCGAGCAGGACGAGCAGGTATTAGCGACGTCTTTTGACCGATAGCCAACCAAGGGCCAAACGATAAGGTGTCACGTGTACACGAGCTGGTATGGAGGCAAAAACAAAGCGAACACACGCATTTTGAAGAGCGAGAGAGAAAGAGATACGTGATGCCAAACGCGAATATAGATGTTTCACATCAAAAAGTAAGATATTTAAATTATAACAAAATCTTAAATGTTATAAAATTTCTTTCGGTTGCCCAGAAAATACGCATGTGACTTAAAAAATCCAAGAATATTTAGTTTTTTTTTAACAATTTTTCCATTTATTTTACTTATTTTACATTCGTAATTTACAGAAATTGCGTAATTTTTTTTAGAAAAAATAAGTACTTTAAAAAAAATGTGTTTTTTAAGATCTAAAATAGGAGTAGTGAGTCAAGAAAAATATGTGCTTTTTTAAATATTCCGTATTACTACAAATAAAAGTTTTTTCCAAAGAGTTACGTACCGAATTACGTAATTTAATTATGTACTTTGAATACGTATTTCACATACATATTTTAATTACGTCCTTATTTTTAATAGGGGTCACTTACAACCCTGGCCAATCTTTTACCCAATTCTGCCCCGCAACACCTTCCTTATTTTACCTCCATAGATATACAAAAACTTAGGCCAAGCAGCGTTTTTAAAACAATCAGTTCATGATGAAGGGTATACTGTGACTGTCACTTACAATCTTAGCCTATCTTTTTACGCAACTCTCGTAGTAACGACTGTGAAAAATGCCTACACCTCTATTTCAATGTTTCCTACTGTACGTTATTTAAATATTTTTGTGTTCGAGGCTTTACAGATTCATTTTATTCTGAAAAGGTTTTATGTTTCCCATTTAGTAAATAAGTACGTTTGAAAACAAATATTTACATTACTTTCTAGTTCGATTTTGTTTCAAAAAAGCCCAATGAAATTGCGAAATATTAAAAAATGTAAAAGTCACTAGGGCACGTCAATTTTCTCATTTTTTTATATTTAAAATTTTAATTTATTAAGTAGTGCTTGAAATACTTATTCATACTATGGAAAAGTATAAATGACTTCTATTTGTAAGTATAAATATTTATGTCATTTAGTGTTTACAATTGATTACATTGAATAAAATATGTTTTAAAAGTATCTGTAACACCAGTGTTGCAATTAAAATTCTAATTAAAGTTTTTTACATGTTATTCATCAACAAATAAAGAATCAGTTCATTTCAACAATCATTTAACAATCAACCCACTATAATGGAACTGGAAGAAGGAGAAGCTAAAATATGTCGGCTTTGTGGTCAATGTGAAAGCATATATATTGATATTTTTGGAGAAGAAGGTTCCAAGCGATGTTTACATTTCAAAATCTCTTCAAAAATAAATATTAAAGTAAGTAGCAGAACATCATTCATATTTATAGCCAATAATAGTTGAATACATAATAATCAATTGAATTATGTTTAAGTCCTGATTCAATTAATATGCAGAAAAAAACCATGACCCTTTGAATAGGTTAAATTTTTTGAGTAAAGTATGTGTGCTAATCCTTTCTTAGTTTTTTATTGTATAATAATTGATTATACTATCAAGTACAATTGTGTCATGTTGATCATATTTTAAACATATTGGAAAATTTCTTACATTTTCTAAATAAATGATTTTCTTTTGAGTTATAATAATCTGGAACTAATGCTTTTGGTGTCACAGGGGAAAGATCTCCCGGGCTATGTTATTGTATTAATTTAAATATTAGTTTAACTAATAAATTAGTTAATATCTAGGTAGCATACTGTCAAATTACTTTTTTAAAATGTTATAAAAAATTGTAGTCAATAAATGTGACTTTTACTTTTTATAACAGATAATTATTTTAATATTATTATGTTTTATTTTTATAAGGTTATAATTATATTTAATAAATGACTGAAGAACCCATAAAAGAAATCAGTCAAAATTACTTTCATCTGTATAATATATATTTAAAATTGAGTTACATTTAAAAAATTTTTGATCCTTGAATCTTATCTAAATATAATCATATTCAACACTTTGGATTTTTAACATGCAATTTTTGATTACTTTCCTGTTTTTTGCAACTATTTTTTAATTCAACAAATTTTTTTTAATTAAACCACTATGCTTGATTTCTTTAGTCAATGTGTACTGTCAATTATTTCAATAAGTTTTGAAAATGAAATTGGTTTTTGTTATATGTAAAAATCAAATCTATACCCCTCGCGGTTGATGCAAGGATTGTCCCCTATACTTGTATATATTTTATATTGTACATTAGTTGTTATAAATTTGTTTCATGCATAATTCACAATATTTACTCTAGTTTAAATCTAAATCTTTTAAATTAATATGTTATCTTTGGATAAAGGTTCATAACATTGTGTGCCGTTGACTTAGACCGACTTCCCCATTGTGGTACAGATATTTTTTTGTAACTATTTATATACTATTTCAATGATAAAAGTTGTTGATTTTGACTACTAAAGTAAATATTTTTTATAACTTGTATGTAAATGTATATTATAAGTGAAATATTCAAATAGAAAAATGCAGTTATTTTATAATTGGATTTCTAAATTCAAACCCTTAACTTATTTTTTTTAGAAATGTCCATATTTTCAATGTAATACAGTCACCATTGTCTTATCCTTTTTGCTCTTGGCTATTAGACCACTAATATATGACCCAAAAATAGTAATCAAATGGTTTAGAGGTCACAACAAAAGGTTTAGACCTTTAGAATGATATGTACGGCTTTTTCACAGTCGTCAGTGACGGTCAAAAATCGACCAGCTGATTTTCCTGGAGGCAAAACAAAGCGACCGTCCGTATACTTTACATGTTAAAGTTGGTTGGTAAAAGTACTTGTAATTATTTTATCGTGCAGTAAAAAAATAAACAAAAAATATCTGGAGAAAGCGGAAATCCTCGTGTATCGAAATATCGGAGCGGTTTTTAGTAAAAGTCTTTAGTTTGTAAATAAAAAAATATTGAAATTTCGGCTTTTTTGTCTGTGATATTGTCAATAAAATCTAATAAAATAGTTATTAATAGTGGTTTTTTGGGTCGCAATATAAACTCGACGTTCTTTACGAAGAGTAACACTTTTCAAATTTGTAACTAAGTCTAATACGTTTCGAAAAAAAGCTAATATAACGAAAACTAGCACGTTTTAATTACTCCCAACTAAAACTAGCACATTTCAATTGTTCCCAACGAAAACTAGCACATTTCATGATTCGTATTAAAGACTAGCACGTTTCAAATGTTGCAACGAAAAGTAGCATGTATGATACATCATGTATACGATCCTCTTATCTGCTTCTTCCCCATTAAAATTTTCATTAACTTCTTTAATTCTTCAGGAATTGACATGTTTAATATCGTTTTGTGCACTCGCGCACAACACGCACAGTTAATAACAATTAAATATTGTATTTTTTTTTTTTTTTGTCACAAAATTGGACATGTGATACTTCTAGTTGTGAATCTGTTTACCATCTATAGAGATATTAAATACGGGCAAAAATAAATATGTAAAAAAGGGTAAACGTGAACTAAACAAACGTGCTTATTTTTTGTAGTAACTGCTGAAACGTGCTAGCTTTAATTCACAATCACTGAAACGTGCTAGTTTTTATTCGAATTCGTTGAAATGTGCTAGTTTTTATCATAAAACTATTATTGTGTGCTAGTCTTCGTTACACATTTGCAATGTGTTACTCTTCGTAAAGAACGTCGAACTCTCAAGCAGGGAAATTTTATTCTTTGAAGTTACCGACGAAAAACTAAGAAACAATCGTAATTAAAAATATTGTCATTCCACCAACCAGCAGACTTGGGTTAGAAGACGATTGCGAGATTATTTTCATAATTTTTTGAAATTATGATTGTTTCTTAGTTTTTAGTCGGTAATTTGAAAAAATAAAAATTATCCCACTTGAGAGTTTGTATTGCAACCTGAAAAACCACTTTTAATAGCTATTTTATAAGAGTTTATTGACAATATCACAGACAAAAAAGCCGAAATTTCAATATTTTTTTATTTACAAACTAAAGACTTTAACTAAAAACCGCTTCGATAATTCGATACACGAGGATTTCCGCTTTCTCCAGATATTTTTTGTTTAATTTTTTACTGCACGGTAATCTAATTACAAGTACTTTTACCAACCAACTTTAACATGTAAAGTATTCGGACGGTCGCTTTGTTTTGCCTCCAGAAAAATCAGCTGGTCGATTTTTGACCGTCACTGATGACTGTGAAAAAGGCCTATAGTGGAAAATTATATGAGCCAGGTTCACATTTCGGAATGATAAATATTATGAATTATGTTTGAAAATCGAAATATTGAAAACGAAACATGAAAAATTCGGAAAAACAAAATTTCGGAATGAAAAAATTTCGGAAAAATTAAAATTTGGAATCAACAACATTTTTTAGTGGGAAATTTTATAGTCTACACTTACCACTAAAAATTTTGTGGATTCCGAATTTTAATTTTTCCGAAATTTTGTTTTTACGAATTTTTCATGTTCCGTTTTCAATATTACGATTTTCGAACATCCGAATTTTATACATTCCGAATATTCATAATTCGTAATAATTATCATTACGAAATGTGAACATAGCTCAATTATATGTGCTGGTCCTTTAACTTATGCCGTTGAAAAGACTGAAAATTACATTGATAATAAGTACAAAAAATCATTGTTCTGTATTAGCGTAGAAATCTAATATTCTTTACGTAACATGTCTCAACTTACGTCATTAGTAAAAAATCTAAAATATTTGATTAGCTATCTACAGACAGCTATCAGAAATAAAACTTCTTTCAATTTAATGAATTGAAAGCATCAACATACGAAAGAAGAAAAATATTAAAAATGTAAAAGCAAAGTATGAAGAATAAGAGCTTGAAAAATTTAAAAGAAAAACGCAATGAAAATAAAAATTCAAATCAAACATTGAGAAAAGTAAAATAAAATTTCAGAAAGAAAATTCAACCAAGGAAGAGGACTCTGAAGTTTCACTTCTGGTGTTTAAATTATCTAAAATCTATTTAACTTATAAAGCAATAGAAGTGAAACTTCAGAGTCCTTTTCCTTGGTTGAATATTCTTTCTAAAATTTTATTTTATTTTACTCGATTTTTGACTTGAAACTTTTTATACTTTAGAAGTGTACTAGCACTTTGATTTTTATTAGATTTTTAAAAATTTTTCAAACCTTTATTTTTCATACTTTGTTTTTACATTTTTCAAGATTTTTGTTTTATATTTTGATGTTTTCAATTAAGGAGGTTCATTTATTCAACATTTTTTGAGAAATGGGACCTACTTTATTTGATAGATAATTAAATTCAATGGTGAAATTATTTAAGTGGCTTATGCTTCAAAATCTCGACATATTTTATCTCAAAGTATGAAATTTTTAATATTAGCCTTATGAAACGGACACATTCACGAGTTATTTATATTATTTTGTTAAGGTATTGGAGTATACAGGATTTATAGGAAAAACCCTCATCTTTCAGCCTATACATTGTGAAATAGGGCTTACGCTGCAAAAAATCAAGATTTTTCACATCAAAGTGAAAAAAACGATGTTTTTGTTATGAATAAGCAGGCCGTACTGCGCATACAAAATGTACAGCTCCGGGCAAGAGCTCACTATTTATAGTAAAACTTGAACTGACAAGGAGACCTTCTCACCTTCGGGTCATGGATTTAGCCCAAACTTTTTCTGGTGATTCAGGACAGTTAGAAAACATGCCCTGTTATGTTCGCTTATGTGAATATGCCCCAGAAGCCTTAGATAAAAAATAAAGGGCCAAATAATAAAAATAAGCGTATAAAGTGCAATTAATATTCATTTCCCATCCACAAACTATTAAAGTCACTTATTTTAGACACTTGGTACTTGAAAACATTACATTTCATTGTTAAGAAGTTGTTGGATCTCACTCATGACCCAAAACATTGCAATATTGTTCAATTATGACATTATAAAGCGTTAAAATTTCAATACGTATGGCCTTAAACGCTTCAAATAATTATTATTTTAATACAAGCAATGGAGATCCAACAAGTTCTTAGCAATGAAATGTAATGTTTTCAAGTACCAAGTGTCTAAAATAAGTGACTATAATAGTTTGTGGATAGGAAATGAATATTAATTGCACTTTATACGCTTATTTTTATTATTTGGCCCTTTATTTTTTATCTAAGGCTTCTGGGGCATATTCACATAAGCGAACATAACAGGGCATGTTTTCTAACTGTCCTGAATCACCAGAAAAAGTTTGGGCCAAATCCATGGCCCGAAGGTGAGAAGGTCTCCTTGTGAGAGAGTCTCCTTAATTAAATTTAAGGATATTTTACTTTTGATGTCTGTCCGTAGACAGCTAATAAAGTATTTTAGATTTACTTTTTCATATTTCTTAGAAATCCTTTTTAATTGAATTTTAAAAAATCATCAATTCTAGGGTGAATGTACAACATTCTGGACACTCGGGGAAAATCTTTCGTTGCTCAATTACAAAGCTTATGAATGATGTTTGAAAATTTTTCTAAAAATACCTTTTGATGAAAAAGAAGTAATCATTCAAATGAGCACATGCACTTGGCCAAAATTGATATTTATAATTCTAAAAAATGATTAAAGCCAAAAAAAAATGCGAATCGTCTATTTTTCGACTACCCCACTGAGTCGTCAATGACTCAGAACTTGGGACTCAGCTAAATTTTAATTTTTAAGGTCTAAAAGCATAATAAATGAATGTACATTTCTATGGGTTACTTGGGAACCTATTGCTGATTTTTAAATTGATAGAATTGAGTAGAAAACTTTTGAATAAAAATTATTAAGGGTTAGTGCAAGTAGTCGAAAACTGAAAGAACAATTTTACCGAATAGTCCAATTTTCAACCAGGTCAAAATTATAAATTGAGCAACGAAACAGATTTAATAATTTTCGAGGCTACTAAAAATTTTCTCTGAAACTATAAAATTTATAAAATTTATAAAATCGAAAAAATATTTTATTGCGTCAAAATTTCGCACGTATATTTGTATTTATTTGAATAATATTTTGAGGTGGCCGAAATTCGGCGGGTGGCAAGTAATAGGCGTATTCACCCTAAATTTCATGAATACTTTTTGGTTAGGTACAAGATTCGGCAGCCAGTCGGGGCCACTGATGGAACCGAAACTTACACTATCTTATTTCTCAAATAAATTTGATTTGATTCAACACGGTTATGCAATATTTCAGTATATAATTATATAAAATTATGTACGTTCAAATTCATTACAAGACCCAAAATATGGATGAAAATCACGTCGATTGCGAACGAAAAATTTCGTTACTTTTGGAGTTAATGAGTCAATTTCAAACAGAAAGTTATTAAAAATTGTATGAATTAGTTTATAATTTTACAAAACCAACTTACATTCATATTAAAAAAAATAAATGTGAATTTTCTACACCTCTGCTTCTTGTAATACGTATCGTCTATCAGCAAATGTCATTTATTGCCAAATCATTATGTTAATTTGATAACGATCGGTTTCAACTATAAATGCTAGAAAATGTACAAGTGAACTTTTTTATTACAGATTGATGAAAATGACTCTTTACCTAAAGTTATCTGTGTGCAGTGTTTGGGAAAACTAGAGTTCGTTTGTGATTTTCAAGAAGAATGTTTGCGCATTCAACAGCGACTTCGAGATCAGTATCAATCACCTGTTTCAGATAATGTAAGTTTTAATTTAGTTGGTAATATTTTGATATATTTTTACAATAATATAAACGTGTTTGTAGCTATCTTATACATAAAAATGTTATTTTTCATGCTTCCCCAGCCAAAACTAACTACAGTAAAACTTCGATCATTAGAACTTCCATAATTCGGAATCCTCGATAATTCGAAATAAAATTTTGCATTTAGAGTCTTCAAATCATGTAAATTTATCTCTATAATTCGAAATAAAATGTTGCATTTAAAGTCATCACATCATGTAAATTTATCTCGATCATTCGAAATCCTCTTTAATTCGAAATTACAGCGTGAATTTAGGATTTCGAATTATTGAAGTTTTACTGTATTTTCGTCCCTGCGGGCAAAACGAAAAATTTAATTTCTCTAGAGCTTAAAGAAAGCCTCTGAGAACGTGTAATAATCAGTTAAAGCAAGAGCTTCTTTTCCAATGCATAAGTCGCACTCTCTGGTAACGCAAAGTAAGGTTAACGCTCGCGTGTAGAAAGTGTGACGCCGGCTATAAATATAGTTTTTTCACATGCCTCTGTTGACTTATTATGGTCGCTTAAATTATAGAATTAAAAATTAAGAACAAAAAGGACTCTTTTGATTAGTGATGCAAAGTCATCCAAACAATTTCAATTATAAGATCTAATGAAGAAGGGTATTCCTTGTATCAGAAAACTATCATGCGGTAGTTTTAAAATCGCGGCCATTACATTGGAAATGTCTTTCATATGAAAAAAGTCGCTTCTACTTTTACTTATAAATCTCCATTTTTAAAACCACTACTAATAGATTCCAAAAAAAAACTTGCACTTAATTAACCCATTAATTCGCAAAAGTGCAATTTTGTGCTCGAATTTTTCATTGTAAAATATCATTGATAAAATTAAGATCTTTTCTTGAAAATCCACATCTACAGGTTTTTGGGTGTGCTCTTTCAGAATCTCGTATAATTTTTGCGATAAATAAATATCATCATCGTTTGTTATTCAATTAGAATAAAACGTGATTTTTTGAATTAAAATTTTTTTCAAAGTGAACTTTTTACACTGTCCTGCCTTCCAAGTGTTCCCATAACACCAGCAATTGTGCACTTTTGCTCTGACCCATCAAGAAACCTATTGCTGCGATTTCTATCTAACCCCTATATTTTTAAAATGGCAAATTTTACCGATCGGTGATACAAAAATTCACTTCTTTATTATTTGATAACTATTGACTTTTTATCATTAGTCAATAGTTTTCAAATAAAAAAGGAGTCAATCCTATATAAATGTACGTGAAATAAGTCGGTTATTATGGCCACTCTGTCGGTTAATATGGCCAAACGTAAACATAATTTCTGCCGAAATTTTGATCGGAATAGTGTTTAATTATTCAATAACGTAAACATTTTCATTAGTATTTAATTTAATTTCGATCTACAAATAGCCCAAAAGACAAGAACGTTTTATCATGAGTAAAAGAAGAGATTTGGCAGTCGAAGGAAAACTGATTTCACTAAAATGTTATGATAGCGAATTTTCATCACTTACAAGGAGACCCTTCTCACCTTCGGGTCATGGATTTGGCCCAAACTTTTTCTAGTGATTCAGAACAGTTAGAAAACATGCCCTGTTATGTTAGTTTGTGTGAATATCCAGCAGAAGCGTTAAGGGGACATTCCCATTGCAAATTGTAGAAAAATCACTTTTTAAATTTTTTTTTTTGAAAACAATAATTTTTATTCATTCCGCATTTTTTGGGTATTGTACCTTACATATTAAACTACAAAAAAAAATTTTTTATGGGAATTAAGACCCATTTTGTTGGCTGTAGACGGAATTTGCTGAAATCCGTGTTTCGGCTCTTGCTAGCGATTGAGAAAAAATTACCAGTCCGATCTTTACGTTTAATATCTCGTTTTAATCGTTACAACTTTCTCTAGAAGACAAACCTCTAAAAAATTGATATTTTCAATTTTTACGATTTTGGCGCGAGTTTTTCTAAAAAAATTGCTCTTCGGTAGTTATTGGGGTGATTTTTTCCACTGTATAGAGGTTTGTCTTGTTGAGAAAGTTGTAATGATTAAAACGAGATATTAAACGTAAAGATCGGACTTGTACTTTTTTTCTCAATTGCTAGCGAAATCTGAAAAAAAGTAGTTTTGAGATAAACGCGTCCGAAGTTTTGTTCTGTACATATCGAGCACGCTAGAAGCTTCGTGTAATCGGGCATAACTTTTTTTCCTTTATGAATTTCGTTCTATAATTTTAACAGAATATTTTCATGATGTTAAAGAATGTTTTAACGTAAAAAAATGTATCGATTTTTTTTTCATTTCCAATGGGAATGTTCCCTTAAATAAAAAATAAACGTTAAAATAATAAAAATAAGCATATAAAGCATTTATTACCCTCAAACTATTTTGGTTACTCATTTCAGACACCTGGTTCTTAAAAACATTACATTTCATTCTTAAGAAGTTGTTGCATCTCACTCATGACCCAAAACATTTCAATATTGTTCAATTATGACATTATAAAGCGTTTAATTTTAATACTGTTGGCCAAATCAATAAAACTTATATCAAAACAATAATTATTCAATAATTATTATTTTAATACAAGCACTGGAGATCCGACAAGCTCTTATCAAAACACTTTTCACAGATTTATTTAACACTAGTGTACTTGAAGTGTTAGATAAATCTGTGAAAAGTGTTTTGATAAGAGCTTGTCGGATCTCCAGTGCTTGTATTAAAATAATAATTATTGAATAATTATTGTTTTGATATAAGTTTTATTGATTTGGCCAACAGTATTAAAATTAAACGCTTTATAATGTCATAATTGAACAATATTGAAATGTTTTGGGTCATGAGTGAGATCCAACAACTTCTTAAGAATGAAATGTAATGCAGTACAGTAGCCGGCAAGGGGGTACCGAATCAAACGGACACGAGTGTACCAACGCAAAGTTGAATTTTATCAATGATGTGCTGAGGTGAATAATATTTGCACATAAGGCCACTATTTGCCATGTTCTCATACCATGCCTTTGTGCAACATTGTAATGTTTTGGGTCACGAATGAGGTCCAACAACTTCTTAAAAATGAAATGTAATGTTCTCAAGATCCAGATGTCTCAAATAAGTAACCAAAATAGTTTGAGTAATAATGCAGTATAATGCAGTTTGTAGACGTTTATAATAGTACTTTACGATACTAGTGGCATAAGTAACACTTTTGAGCACTTCGTAGTTTAGGGCCCGAGCGCGGCGAGGGTCCTAACAGCTGGGCCGAAAAGTGTCCACATGGCATGAGTATCGTACAACATTTTATAGCACTGCGTGGCATAAGTTCACATCTATCGCACGCTTTTCGGTGGCATAAGTCGCACATTCTGGCACCGCTGCGTTCGCATCACACTCGCATACGCTCGTGCGCTAACCTCACTTCGCGCTACCAGAAAGTGCGACTTATGCATCGGAAAAGGGGGCATAAATGTGAACTTTGCACAGTACTATAAAACGTTGTTCGATACTCGGGCCATAGGGGACACTTTTCGGCCCAGCTATTAGGACCCTCGCTGCGCTCGGGCCCTAAACTACGCCGTGCCAAAAAGTGTTACTTATGGCACTTGTATCGAAAATTACTATTATAGCGCTGTGCTAAGTTCACATTTCTGGTAGCGTGAAGTGAGGTTAGCGCACGAGCATATGCAAGTGTGATGCGAACACAGCGGTGCCAGAATGTGCGACTTATGTCACAGAAAAGCGTACCATAAAAGTAAACTTATGCCACACAGTGCTATGAAATAGTAAACGTAATTTTATGGTTCTGACTTACTTTTCATTTGTTTATACGCATTTTTCGCTGAGATAAATATTAAAACAACGAGGAAACTCAGTCAAATGAAAGTACATCAAAAAACAAAAATTTTAAGCTCTTTTGAAAGGTAATCGGTCAAGTAGACGCCAAGTTACATCCTTCTGAGCTTGGGCGTAGAAACGTGCGAGCGCTTAGGGTGCGCCGCTAACTTATAGTATAGGCCTATATGCCACCAGATCCAGAGTTTTAACCCGATTCAAATGCGTAATCATCGTGATAAATACAATTGTTATGAAGACAAATGTTTAAAAACAACGTTTTTTTTAAAACAAATGTATTTTTAAAAAGGTTGCATATATCGTATATCTGACGCCAGATTTGAAAAGAGCAATAAAAATTCCATAAGATATGGTATTTTTACATTAATTTGACAATGGTTTCATAAAAAAAGAATGCGTGGAAAAATAAGTCAAAATTAGGGTCTCTTCGTATTTGACGGGTTAAAATTGCACGAAATAATTTTCGTGTACAAAATTTAAATACATTTCATCTGCTTGCATTAAAAAATTAGTCTTGAATAGGTTTATTTTCTGCGCAACAAAAATGTTCATCGAAATTTTATTAATTGTCAAATGCTGCTATCTTTATCTATTTTGATCGTGTAAAGACGATTTTTTTTCAGCTAAACGGGGCACTAAGCGCACTTCAATTGGTACCTTCAAAGCGGCCTAGAGGGCGTATAAAAGTCGTAGAGAGCTTCTTTTCATTAATTTCAATTGTGCGTAACGTTGAGAACAGTACTTTGCAATGGTTTATGTTAAATTTTGATGAACAAATTACTGTAGTAAGGTCAAGGGGGGTATATTCGCCCACTTAAGCCCAACTTTCAATAAAAATGACACTTAAGAAAATATTCATTGTAAAATCGAGATTTTTGATTGTTTAATATGATAGAGCATACCTTAAACTAAATAGCTGCACAGTAAAAAAAAATTTTTCGATATATTTACAATAAAAAAATAAATATAAACTTCAAGAGTTCTGTGCTGGTATTTTCGCTCACTCTAAAAATGCCCGTTTGTATTTTCGCTCACCTTTTGCTCCCATTCTCGCCCACCTATAAATTTGCGTCAAACGTATTTTAAATTCTACTAGAATTAAAAACGAACTCTTTATTATG